ATAAATTTACTTTCTCCGTCCAACCTTATTGGGCCTCAAACCCACCTCAAAATTCGGCCCAACAGAAGATCTTGATCTTATCCAGTCCAAATAATAAAAAAATAAAAATATTGTTGTTAATGGACCTGATATTGTGATATCAAATCAAGAGTTATGAGTTGATGCGATATATTTTAATTAAAAATGAAGAAATTTATTAGAAAATGGAATACAAACCAAAATAAATAAACAAATAAATAAACAGGTTAAGTTGAGAGGTGAGGTAATTCACGTGGAAGGTTTGGAAATGAGATGGGACAAGGAGACATCCTTAGAACTCCTCACCTGCTTTCCTTTCGACAAAACATTGATTTGAGCTCATTTTGGATTCATTTGTTCCCATGTTTTTTTTTTGTTTGTTTGTTTTGTTTTTTTGTACCATTTTAATTTTATTAAAATTGTAGTGTTAAGTATAACTCAATTGATTAAAATATTATATATTTAAATTTTTTATTTTAAGAAGCAAAAAAAAAAGACAATAAGTTTGACTAATTACAAGAACTAGATAATATAAAACTTAGAGTTGTTAATAATATATATTTATGAAAATGGCAAACAAATTCGAGAAATTTCTGGTAATGATTTGAAATTTATGGGAAGACCAAGAAAAAAAAAATTATTTTATGATGACGGGTTACGGAGGGACCGTTTCGTTTTTGTAGGTTGGTCTGATCTATTATTACTCTTTCCTTGTGCCCATTTTGCCGTAGGAGGTTGGTTTACAGGTACAACCTTTAAAACTTCATGGTATACCCATGGATTGGCAATTTCCTATTTGGAAGGATGCAACTTCTTAACTGTCCCACTTTGGACTCCTGCTAATAGTTTAGCACACTCTTTGTTGTTCCTATGGAGTCTTGAAGCACAAGGAGATTTTACTTGGTGTTAATTAGGTGGTGAGATTGGTCATAATTATTAAGTAAAAAAGTTAGGTGTTGAAGATTACCGAAAGGAGTAATCTCACATCCTCTAATTAAGAGGAAGATCATATCATAAGTTTACAAGTATAGAACATTGTCTCTACTAATATAATGTTTTTTTAAAAAGAACCAAAAGCATAAATTATTTTAAAATTAGACAATGTTACACTACCATCAATATCTGTGATTTTTACCATATTTTTATAAATTATTTTAAGAGTAGACAATATTGATTTCTAACGTATTTTTTAAAATAAAAATATTTTTGAAGAAATATGGTATCAAAAATTGATGATTGGCTGTCAAACAACCATGCCACGTGCACAATGCTACAACCCACGAAAAAAGTTTAAAATGTTTTTTTTACAAAAAAAAAAAAAAAAACATGGTAATATCAAAGCATATAATGAAAATTTAATAAATCATTAATTAATTTTCAGTCTTATAAGCTTAATTAATTGATATTAATTTCAAAAGCATACAAAGTCTTCTGGTTAAATAATTCCATAAAAATAAATAAATAAAAAAACAAATAAATGTTTTTTTATGAGTCACTGTTATGTTTTGTTTATGTTTGCAGCAATTGTTCCCAAATACGGAAGCATCCGCATGTCTTGGACGTGACACATCCCTCCCAAATCACATCTTCAATTTCTCCTACCACTATACCATTTTTAGCCTCCTAACTTTATTGCTCGATCGACAACGATTTTGTCTCTAATTTAATAAAAATATATGAATTCATAAATATGGACGAGATTCGTTTCATTCCAACTTTATATATATGTTTAGACGTTTAAAGCATCTTTTGTCAAATTTAAATCAACTATTCGAAATGACGTTTTGGCCTTTTTCGTTTGAAAAATTTGGACGACAGTCCTCCACGTCATTAGTTACCTCAACATATCGTCAATGGTAAATATATGTTACCCTATAGAATGGTGTTTGTGTTTGATTTACATGTTTTTGTTGTTATTTATAGGCACGATGTTGGAAAGATTTTATAAAATCAATGTGATTTTGATTTTTGCTAACTTATTACTATTAATTTTGTCCTCATTTTGGCCAACATATTACACCACAGACGACTTTTCGCCAAAAGCTTTATGTTTATATATTTTAAGGAGGGAAATAACATGTGCCACCTAAATAATTATATTAATAAATAAATATGAATGGACGTATGATTTTACCTCAAATTTTTTTTTAAGAAACACTGGATTCCCTTTTGGGTAGGCCCGAAAAGGAGAAGGAAGGCTGGAATGCCAACAAACGTCTATTATTGAATTCACCCGACTCAATAGTGCTAAAGTCACTGAATGGGTAAATCGCCAATCCCTAAAACGGACTATGTAATGTACTTTATTTGATAGGTTACGGGTGGGCATTTTACCAAATGATTTCAAAGTGGACTCCCATTCATGAGATAGAGAAGATCGCAAAGATTTCGTTATCCACTATCGAACTTATTCCTTCCAATTCAACGGGATCTCACAATTCACCCCCTTCTAAGCCCAAAGTCCTCGTTGGCACTCATTTCTCTCTCCAATCAACCTAGGACCCTCCAATCCACCCTCTTCCTTCAGAGCCTAGCGTCCTTACTGGCACATCTCCTTGTGTCCACTCTTCAGGGTTCTACCTCCTCTCGCTGCAATATGACCTAGTGTCCACCCCCTTTGAGACTCAACCTCCTCAATGACACATCGCCTGGTGTCTGATTCTAATGTCATTTGTAATCTCCCAAGCCCACCGATAGCAGGTATTATTCTTTTTAGGCTTTCATTTTTTTACTTCCTTCAAGGTTTTTAAAACTCGTCTACTAAACCGACCTGAGATCTCACATCTTATTCCTTACTTATAATAAAATTGAGCCACTCGGGACTTCTCTCTCAACAATCCTCGATATAAAAAAAAGGCAGGAAGGGATATGATTGAATTTATGCCACTTTTGTTCGGTTATGTCTTTATATATATACGATGAAGGGAGGGTTGTCTGATGCCGTAACCTATGGCTGTAACGCACCCCACACTCTAGGCAGCTTCCAACTTCCCCAATTGCCCTCCTCTTCTCTCTCACGTGATGTTGTCTTAAGTTTCCAATATGGTAGGCCAAAACTCCAATAACTTAATTCAAAATAATTGACCTAAAACCCTATAAACAATTACAACTCACACTTTAGACCACCGCTCGTCTTTTCCGCTGCCCGTTGGATGAAAGTTCCACATCAGCTAATTTAGAGAATGATTATAGGTTTATAGTTAGAGAATACTATCTCCGTTGGTATGAGACCTTTTAGAAAACTCCAAAACAAAGTCATGAGAGTTTATGCTCAAGGTGGACAATATCATACTACTGTGGAGAGTCGTGTTCATCTAACACTGCCAACTACTTTGCCACCACCGTGGCTCATCGAAATATTTTTATAATAAAATATTGGTTGATACGATACCCAACCATATTGTAAATGATTTAAAATATTGAGCCATTAAGATGTGTTACGCACATGCATATCAAAATCACATTATTTATAATGTATGGTTTGATGGATTGAGATGCCCAGCTAATACTTTCAAAATAAATGTACAATTTTAAATTATTTGAATCAATGGAAACTTACCCGTTTAACAAATCATCCTTGACCTAAACATCTCATATATTCTTATAATCTTCCTCAAAACCCAACAAAATAAAACAAAACCATTTTGAACATGCAAAATTTTCAATTCACTTAAAAAATGTGGGACTCAAACACTATTGAAATTTTGACCAAATCTAGATCCTGTTAGACAATTTTCTTTATAGATGTATAACTTTTGGACTATCTATAAATTAAATAATATTTTTATTTCGGAGGGTTCATTTATATATGTCTTGTTTACGACCAACCAAATCAAACCATGGGCAGCATAGCTGAATTTCGAAGGACAACATAGGGCCCGTAAGGTGATAAAAAAACAAGGGCATCTTTACAAGATTGTAAGGTGTTAAAAGGAGCAAGAATTTATAAGGACAACATAGTCCCGGTAAGGTTGAAGTTTGTCGTAATAATGCCAGACGTGTGACAAGTTCTAGTAATGAAGTGAAATAAATAGGAAAAATTAGTATAGATTGATGTGTCGGAGGTATGTCTAGAAATGCATGAATATGAGTTGATTGAAGTATGCCTATTCTAGTTGCTATGCGCCTCTCGTACATACCATAGTACTCAACATTACAAATCTTATTATATAACATTTTTCAATTATTCTTTTCATTTTCATTTAATTTAGAAATAAAAATATTTGTTGACTGATCTTAACCATGGAAAGGATCGGACGGTGGAGAGTAATCAAATAAATAAATAAATAAACGATGTACAGTTTCTGTAGCGCGTGTATTTCATGACGTTTGTTTCCACAAAATAATTTTATTAAATTAAGAAAAAGTATCCGAAACTTCCCCCTTGCAAATCTTTGAAAACCAAGACGAACTCAATGCACGACGTCGTTAAGTCTTCCCTCACCAACCAATCTTAACCTTAAGCCAACTCTTTTCTTTCTTTCTTTTTTTTTTTTAATAAAAAATAGCCCAATTTTTCTCCCCAACTTTATTGCTACTCAATTCTTTAAAATTAATTTCCTTATTATATCTAAAATATTTGACTTACTACGATATGAAATATCTTTTAAAATTTAAAATACACTAACTTTACGAGATAATTTAACTAATTAAGATAAGGTGACGGGTTCAAATCATCAAACCCTATATGTCAAGCTACACCGACTTTAAAATTTTTAAAAATTAACACGTTTTTTACAATTAAAGATATTAAAACTCATGACTCGATCAATGGGTAGAATTGATTGAGTATTTACATCGTATTTAATGGAAAAATTCTTAGAACCTTACGAATTTATTGATTATAATTCTACAATTATTTTTTTTATTAATATATATATTGTCGTATTCTCATCCAAAATCTCTATAAATATTGGCTTAGCGAGCCACCAATTTCTTACCAACATTCACAAAACCCTTTATTCTTCTTTCCTTTGAAAAACCACCATGACGGAAAATCTCCCGGTTCATTTCATAGTCACTTTCTTCATAAACCGGTTAAAATCCAGCATAAACAAATCCAAGCCATGGATTACCCTACACCCGCAACCAAACAACCTTGTACACGATCCCGAATCTTTAACCTTAGCCTCCTCCGATTACGGGAATATGGTCAAAGAAATCCCCGCTGCGGTTCTTCAACCAACCTCCATAAACGACGTCGTTCACCTAATAAATTATTCCTACAACAACCCTATCCCATTTCCGGTAGCCGCCAGAGGACAAGGCCACTCCGTACGCGGCCAAGCCATGGCCAAAAACGGCGTCGTAATCGACATGTCGTATTTGCGGCGGAATCGGGAAACCCCTGGAATTATAATCTCCCGCCTCCGCTCCACCGGGGAGATTTACGCCGACGTCGGCGGAGAGCAGCTGTGGATTGACGTGTTGAATGCGGCGTTGGCGTATGGGGTGACGCCGGTGTCGTGGACGGATTATTTGTACATCACGGTGGGGGGGACGTTATCAAATGGCGGGATTAGCGGGCAGAGTTTCCGGTACGGGCCGCAAGTGAGCAATGTGGTGGAGATGGATGTCGTCACAGGTATGGAAAACGAAACGACGTGTAATTTTGTATTTAAATATAAATATAAATAAAAAATAATTTATTTGTTCATACGATATTAAAAGGACAAGTTTGGTTGTTACATAATGTGTATTAAGTACAGACATTTTTCTACATATCATTAAATGATATGACAAAGCTGTTTATTTTGTGGTCCCTGAGTTTGAACTCTAAAAAAAAATGTATTTTTCAAACTAGGTGTTTCCAGTCTATTTTGTACAAATAGACAGCTTGTCTTTTAAAAATAAATTATTATTGCATGCATGCAATTAATGATAACATGACTATCGGTATGATATTGTCCGACTTCAAGCATAAGCTCTTATGGCTTTGCTTAGGACATACTAAAAAAGGATTCATCATACCCATGAATATAGTATTCTTTGATTATAAACTCATGATCATTTTTTAAATTTGCAGGTAAGGGGAATATGGTGACTTGCTCTGCTAAAAAGAATTCTGAGCTATTCCATGCGGTCCTTGGAGGTTTAGGTCAATTTGGGATTATTGCTCGGGCAAGAATAGCTTTGGAACCAGCTCCAAAGAGGGTAATTTTTATTTATTTTCTTTTTTTTATATATATTTATTTTATGGTTTTTTTTTAATATTTAAAAGGCTTATTCTTATAATTATGGTTTATATTTCTTTTATATATATATATATATAGTAAGGTTTTATATAGTTTGTAAGGTTGATTAAAAGTAAGGAAGAATCTATGGATGCTTCTAAACCACCCAACATATCATCGTCTTTGTTTGGGAGTGTTTCTGTCATTTCCAACCATCAAAACGGTGTCGTATCTAATAATACGAACATATTCCAAATTAATTCTCATGCATATGTTTTACTATTTCTTAATCTCATGCTTTGTCTGCTAATTATGATTATTATTAGTACTATTATGTACGCACGCATGTGAAATTCGAAGATACTGATGATGATGTGGAATTCGGTCGCAGGTTAAATGGGTACGAATGTTGTACACTAATTTTTCCGCGTTTGCCAAAGACCAAGAGCGTTTGATCTCATTCAATGAAAGAAAACAAGCGAATGCGCTGGATTATTTGGAGGGTTTGGTTCTGCTGCATCATGACTCACCGGATACTTGGCGTTCCTCGTTCTTTCCACCGTCTGATCATCCTAGAGTAATCTCTTTGGCTAATCAAAACTCCCTTATTTATTGCCTCGAGGTTGCCAAATATTATGATCATCATACTCAGTCTACTATAGACAAGGTAAAAATTTAATACTTTTCTCTCTCCCGAGGTCTAAAAAAAGATAATTCTTATATGATTGTGTTGTTTTTTTTTTTTTTTTTTTTTTTTTTTTTTTTTTTTTTTTTTTTTTTTT